CGTGGGCCTCTCATCTGCGCTTGGCTCTGGAGACTCTGTTCTGCTAATCCTCTGGCGGTTTTCTGGGTTATTTAGGCAGGTGTAGGTGGAATCTAAGTGATCAGCAGGACACGCGGTGAGCCCAGCATCCTCCTATGCCGCCATCTTCCCAGTAACCTTTCCAGGCTTATTTTAACAAACACAGGATACCTTGTTAAAGGTGCAAACACTCCCCTGCAAGCAAAGAGGAACTCTGCAGAAGACAGACCAGTGGGAAAGAGCAGCCAAAATTCAATAGCAGAGTACACAGAGCATACACCAGAAACACTTCTTGAAGTTACAGGCTCTGAAAACCATATGACACATTTTTAATATAGCATTACTCTCAGGTGCAGGAAACACAACAAGCTTTTAAAACACACAAAAGACAGAAACTTAGCCAAAATGACAAGATGGATGAATTCTCCCCAAAAGAAAGGTCAAGAAGAAATCACAGCCAGTGACTTGCTCAAAGCATATATAAGCAATATATCTGAACAAGAATTTAGAACAACAGTCATATGACTACTAGCTGGGCTTGTAAAAAGTGGAGAAGACACCAGAGAAACCCTTGCTGCAGAGATCAAAGACCTAAAAATTAATCAGGCTGAAATAAAAAATGCTAAAACTGAGAGGCAAAACTGACATGATACAGTCATAATGGGGACTGACGAAGCAGAGGAGAGAATAATTGACATAGGAGATAAAATTATGGAAAATGAAGCTGAAAAGGAGAGGGAAAGAACTATTAGATCACAAGGGGAGACTTAGAGAACTAGTGATTCCATAAAATGAAACAATATCCATATCACAGGAATCCAAGAAGAACAGTGGGAAAATGGGGCAGAATGTTTTTTTGTACAAATTATAGCTGAGAACTTTCTTACTTTGGGGAAGGAAACAGGCAATAAAGTCCAAGAGATACAGAGAACTCTTCTCAAAATCAAGAACGGATCAACACCATGACATATCATAGTGAAACATGCAAAATACAAAGACAGGGAGAGTATTCTGAAAGCATCTAGGGACAAAATGTCCTTAAACTACAACGGTAGACACATAAGGTTAGCAGCAGACCTATCCATTGAAACTTGGTGGGCCAGAGGTGAGTAGCATGAAATATTCAATGTGTGAATGGGAAGAATATTTAGCCAAAAATTCTTTATCCAGCAAGGCTGTCATTCAGAATAGGAGAGATGGTTTCCCAGACAAAACCTAAAGGAGTTCATGACCACTAAACAAGCCTTGCAAGAAATATTAAGGGGGACTCTGAGTGGAAAAAAAAAAAAAGAAGAGGACCAAAGGAAGAAAGACTACAAAGGACCAGAGAACATCACCAGAAACAACAACTCTTCAGGTAACACAATGGCACTAAATTCATATCTTTCAATAATCACTCTGAGTGTAAATAGACTAAATGCTCCTATCAAAAGATGTAGGATATCATATGGATAAAAGACCAAGATAATCAATATACTGCCTACAAGAGACTCATTTTAGACCTAAAGACACCTGCAGATTGAAATTGAGAAGATGGAAAAGCATCTGTCATGCTAATGGATATCAAAAAGAAAGCCAGAGTAGCCATATGCATATCAGACAAATTAGATTTTAAAATAAAGAATGTAACAAGATGAAGGACATTATATCATAATTAAGGGGTCTATCCATCATGATCTAACAATTTTAAATATTTATGCCCACACTTTGGAGAAGCCAAATATATAAATCACTCACAGACATAAGCAAACTCATTGATAATAATACCATTATTGTAGGAGACTTTAATACTCCACTTACAACAATGGACAGATCATCCAAGCATAAAATCAACAAGAAAACAATGGCTTTGAATGACACTGGATAGGATGGACTTAACAGATATACTTAGACCATTTTTTCCTAAACAAGCAGAATATACATTCTTCTCGAGTGAAAATGGAACATTCTCCAGAAGAGATCACACACTGGGTCAAAAATCAGCCCTCAATAGGTACAAAAGGATTGAGATCATACCATGCATATTTTCGAATCACAACAGTATGAAACTTGAAGTCAACCACAAGGAAAAATTTGGAAAGCCATCAAATACATAGAGGTTAAAGGACATCCTAATAAAGAATGAATGGGTTCACTAGGAGATTAAAGAGTAATTTTAAAAGTACATGAGAGACAATGAAAATGAAAACACATCAGTCCAAACCCTTTGGGATGTAGAAAAGGCAGTGCTAAGAGGAAAGTATATTGGATTTCAGGCCTATCTCAAGAAATAAGAAACATCCCAAATACACAATCTAACCTTACACCTAAAGGAACAGGAAAATGAACAGCAAATAAAGCTTAAAGTCAGCAGAACAAGGGAAATAATAAAGATGAGAGGAGAAATAAATGATATAAGAACAAACAAACAAAACCTGGTAGAATAGATCAGTGAAACTAAGATCTCGTTCTTTAAAAGAATAACAAAATTGATAAACCTCTAGCCAGACTTTTCAAGAAGAAAAGGGAAAGATAAAATCATGAATGAAAGAAGAGAGACTACAACCAACACCACAGAAATACAAACAATTATAGGAGAATACTATGAAAAGTTGTATGCCAGCAGACTGGGCAATCTTGAAGAAATGGAGATATTCCTAGACACTCAGAAACTACCAAAACTGAAACAGAAAGAAATAGAAAATGTATTTATTCATTTATTTTTTATTTTTTAAAGTTTATTTGAGAGAGAGAGTGTGAACAACGGAGGGAGGCCAGAGGGAGGGAGACACAGAATCTGAAGCAGGCCCCAGGCTCTGAGCTGTCTGTACAGAGCCTGACACGGGGCTTGAACTCACAAACCATGAGATCATGACCTCAGCTGAAGTCATAAGCTTAACTGACTGAGCCACCCAAGTGCCCCAAGAAATAGAAAATTTATACAGGCCCATAACTAGCAAATAAATTGAATCAGTTATCAAAAATCTCCCAGCAAACAAGGTTTCTGGGCCAGATGGCTTCCCAGGGGACTTCTACCAGGTATTTAAGAAAGAGTTAATACCTATTCTTCTCAAATTGTAACAAAAAATAAAAATGGAAGGAACACTTCAAAACTCACTCTATCAGGCTAGCATTACCTTGATTCCAAAACCAGACAAAGACCCCATTAAAAAGTAGAAATATAGGCCAATATCCCTGATGATGCAAAATTCTTAACAAGATGCCAGCAAATCTAATTCAACAATACATTAAAAGAATTATTCACTATGAATAAGTGGGATTTATTCTTGGGCTGCAGGGCTGGCTCAATATTCACAAATCAATCAACATGATACACCATATTAATAAAAGAAAGGATAAGAAGTATATGATCCTGTCAATAAATACAGAAAAAGAATTTGACAAAATACAGCATTCATTCTTGGTAGAAACCCTCAACAAAGTAGGGATAGAGGGAACACACCTCAACATCATAAAGGCCACATATGAAAGACCTCAATGGGGAAACAGAGTTTTTCCCCTGTGGTCAGGAACAAGACAAGGAGGCCCACTCTCACCATTAGTATTTAATGTAGTACTGGATGTCTCAGCCTTAGCAATAAGACAACAAACAGAAATAAAGGGCATACAAATCAGCAAAGAAGTCAACTTTTACTCTTTGCAGGTCACATGATACTCTATGTAGAAAACCCCAAAGACTTCACTAAAAATTGTTAGAACTAATACACGAATTCAGCAAAGTTGCAGAATATAAACTTGATGTGCAGAAATCTGTTGCACTTCTATACACCAATAATGAAGTAGCAGACAAATAAATCAAGGGATAAATGCCACTTGTAATTCCACCCAAAACAATAAGATATATAGGAGTAAACCTAAGTAGATAAAATTTCTGTATTCTGAAAACTATAGAAGACTTATGAAAGATATTGAAGAGGACACAAAGAAATGGAAAAATGTTGCATGCTCATGAACTGGGAGAACAAACATCGTTAAAATGTCTGTACTACCCAAATCAATCTACACATTTAATGCAATCCCTATGAAAATAACACCAGCATTCTTTGCAGAGCTAGATCAAACCATCCTAAAATTTGTATAGAACCATGAAAGATCCAAAATAGCCAAAGTAATCCTGAAAAAGAAAAAACTGGAGACCTAATGATTCTGAATTTCAAGCTATATTACCAACCTGCAGTCATCAAGACAGTATGGTACTGGCACAAAAACCGACATATAGATCAATGGAACAGAATAGAAAACCCAGAAATGGACCCACAACTATATGGTCAACTCATCTTCAACAATGCAGCAAAGGATATCCAATGGAAAAAAGACAGTCTTAAACAAATGGTGTTGGGAAAACTAGACGGCGACATATAGAATGAAACCGGACCTCTTTCTTAATCATACACAAAAATAAATTCAAAATGAATGAAAGACCTAAGTTTGAGATGGGAAACCATCAAAATCCTAGAAGAGAACACAGGTCACAACCTCTTTGACCTCATCCAGAGCAACTTCATACTAGACATGTAGCCAAAGGCAAGGGAAACAAATGCCAAAAATGAACTACTGGAACCTCATCAGCATAAAAAGCTTTTGCAAACTGAAGGAAACAATCAGCAAAACTAAAAGGCAGCCTATAGAATGGGAGAAGATATTTTCAAATGATATATCAGGTAAAGGGTTAGTATACAAAATCTCCAAAGAACTTACCAAACTCAACACTCAAAAAACAAATAATCCAGTTAAGAAATGGTCAGAAAACATGAATAGACACTTTTCCAAAGAACACATTCAAATAACTTACAGACACTTGAAAACATGCTCCACATCACTCATAATCAGGGAAATACAAATTAAAACCACACTGAGATACCACCTCACACCTGTCAGAATGGTTAAAATCCACAACACAAGTAACAACAGATGTTGGCAAGGATGTGGAGAAGGCAGAATCTTTTGCACTGTTGGTGGCAATGCAAATAGTGCACCTGCTTTGGAGAAAAATATGAAGGTTCCTCAAACCAGTAAAATAGAACTACCCTATGATCCAGTAATTTCACTACTAGGTATTTACCCAAAGGTACAAAAATAGAGATTTGAAGGGGTACTCACACCCCGTATGTATAGCAGGATTATCAACAATAACCAAAATGGTGATAGCCCAAATGTCCACCAACTGATGAATGGATAAAGAAGATGTGGTATATATACACAATGGAATATTTTTCAGCCATTAAATAAATGAAATCTTGGGGCACCTGGGTGGCTCATTTGGTTAAGTGTCCGATTTCAGCTCAGGTCATGATCTCGCAGTTCATGAGTTTGAGCCCTGAGTTGGGCTCTTTGCTGACAGCTCAGAGCCTGGAGCCTGCTTCAGATTCTGTGTCTCCCTCTCTTTCTACCCCTCCCCTCCTCCCTCTCTCTCTGTCTCTCTGTCTGGCTGTATCTCTCTCTCTCTCTCTGTGTCTCTCTCTCAAAAGTAAATAAACATTATAAAATAAAAAATAAAAATAAAAAAATGAAATCTTGCCATTTGCAATGATGTGGATGAAGCTAGATTGTATTATGCTAAGCACAATAAGTCAATCAGAGAAAGAAAAATACCATATGATTTCACTCATATGTGGAATTTAAGAAATAAATCATGTGAATATATGGGATGAAGTGGGAAAGAGAATAAAGGGAAACTAATAACAGGAGACTCTTAATGAGAGAGAACAAACTGAAAGTTGATGGAGGGAGGTGGGTGGGAGATGGGCTACATGTGCGATGGGTATTAAGGAGGGCACTTGTTTTGATGAGCACTGGGTATTGTATGTAAGTGATGAATCACTTCGTTCTACTTCTTAAACAATTTTTTTTTAATGTGAGAAACCGTTGGAGAGACCAAAGGTTGTCAAGAACTCTCTGTGTATGCATTTGTGTGTGTGCACATGTGTGTGCATAGAACATATTTTTCAGCTTAATGCATGGATTAGGCAGATACAACAATGGAAAAATAATTTGTGTGAGAGCTTTTGCATCCTATTACTCTTCTTTACATTGCCTTAGAATGATCATTGCTTATTTCGTTGGCACATAAATTGGCAGTAACATCGCAGATCATCTGGTGTCAGTGGGTTAATATCAGGGCATTGTAAAGACTCAGTAATGTTTAAGAAGCTGATGTGAATACGTGCAGAGTGATCAGCCATTCTAGAGTATTCCTTCATCCTATTACCCACAAAACTTCAGAGCTCATGGATTATAGACTAAGTAGACTGCCACTTTTAGTGCTGCTTATCCCCAAAACCAGAGTGACAGCAAATAAATATGTTTAATAGTGAGTGGTTCTTTCATGCCCGGTGCAAGCACTATCTCTTGGGACATATCCCCTACCGTCTAATGCAACATATGGGGCACAAACTGGTTAAAATTTGGCCCTTCCCAAATATACATAACCAGATAGGTACATGGTACTTCTGTGGGACCAAGAAATTGAATGCTAAAATAACTAGACACATGAGGAATACAGGCAACATAAAAGGAAGACAATAACTACCACATGAATAAGAATTATTGGAACAAAGAGACCAGGAATTTAAAATAAGAATAATAAATATCCTTAGAATAATAAAGAATATTAATATTGTGAAGCAGGAAATGAAGGGTATTAAAAACAAATATTTGGAATCAAAATGTTTAGTTGAATAATGCAGTAGAAATAAAAGAAAATATAATGTTGTAAATAGAAAATAAGAAGAATGAGGGAAAATTCTACTATAATATTTAAAATAAATATAAGTGATCTAAACTTACCAATATAAAGACAAATTCTGCAAGTGATATTTAAAAAAAAACAACAAAATATTATCTATAAGGACCCACTTAAAATAATAGAGAAAAGTTGAATTTAAACGATACAATTATGGAAAAGATATACCAGGCAAATAAGAGCTAAAGGAAAGTAAGGTAGTGTGTTAGTGTCAGTTCTTAAGAAAAACAGAACCAATTGTGTGTGGGGGGGGGCGGGCACTGGGGGTGGGTGAGGAGAGACAAACAGAGAGGGAGGGGTGAGGGAGAGAGAGAGAAAACAAAACTAAAACTAAAACCTTATTCCATGGTTCTCTGACATGTTTTCAAAGGATGAGATTAATTTGGGGCCATGAGCCAGGATTAGAAATAGGTACCCCTCCCTTGTGTTACAGGGGTTTAGTTAAGGCAAGCATTATCTTTTCCAACTCCATTCAGCTACTTGTCGTGGCATCTTAACCACTTTGTCTCCATTTCCTGGTCTCATTCATTGGAATTACAGGAGTCATCTTTCTTGCTTGGTGTGATCTAATCATCATTTCTCCTAGAGCTTGACTTGAGAAACAGTTATTTTGAATTGTTTTCTTCAAGGCAGTGTCTTATACATTATCATATCTTATTGTCTTCAAACTCTGACTTCCTCCCTAGAAAGCAAAGAAAGTAAAGTAAGCCAAGCAGTTGTTTTCTTATCAAGAATTCATAGCAGACCCATTTAACCCTAATTAGCATATCTCATTAACTGTCTCAAGAATGCAGACTGAATTGTTTTTGAAAAAGGGTCTCAAAAATCTTATCTTTTTGAGAAGACACATATTCCCATGCATCTGCTTTCTTAACTAACTCTCTTCTTTCTCTGTAAAATGATAAAAAACAAAATCTGAGTTTTACTGTCCATTTGGGCACTTCACATGCTCTGAATTCCTGCAATGATTACTAATATGTAATCATGTAAGCCTGGGCCCAGGTAAAGGGAATGATATCATATGACTTCACTCATATGAGGAATTTAAGATACAAAACATTAACATATGGGAAGGGAAGCACAAATAATATAAAAGCAGGGAGGGGGACAAAATATAAGAGACTCTAAAATATGGAGAACAAACAGGGTTACTGGAGGGATTATGGAGGGAGGATAGGCTAAATGGGTAAGGGGCATTAAAGAACCTACTCCTGCCATCATTGTTGCACTATATGATAACTAACTTGAATGTAAATTAAAGAAAATAAATTAAAAAATAGGGAGTGATAAGGATAGAGAGGGAGGCTGTCCTACTCTATGTTTAGCTTTAACACTTAGTAAGTACCTATTATCAGTAGTTCCCATACTAAGCACTTTAAGCAGATTTTCTTATTTATTAATAAGAACAGCCTATGAGATATATACTGTTATTATCTCTCTTCCACTTTTCATATGAGAAATTTTGAGCATAAAAAGATCAAAAACAGAGTCCAAGTGTCATAACTAGTAAGCAGTGGAAATAGGACTAGAGATCAGTCCTATGTGACTTTGAGCACACACTCTTCCACTAAATTATGCTGTATGATTGATAAAGAAACTTTTCCATCCTCCTGAAATAATGCTTTTTATTTTTTTATTTTTATTTTTTTATTTTTTAATTTTTTAACGTTTATTTATTTTTGAGACAGAGAGAGACAGAGCATGAACGGGGGAGGGTCAGAGAGGGGGAGATACAGAATCCAAAACAGGCTTCAGGCTCTGAGCCGTCAGCACAGAGCCCGACGCGGGGCTCGAACTCACGGACCGCGAGATCATGACCTGAGCCAAAGTTGGCCGCTTAACCGACTGAGCCACCCAGGTGCCCCGAAATAATGCTTTTTGAAAACACATTTCTCTTATTTAGTTCCTCCCTGGTTACTAGATAAAATATAAATCTCTTAGTAATGTATTCAAGGTGATCCATAATATGCACCATCTGTTTTGCTCAAGTACTTTGGGGCTCTTTTATTACCACTATTTCTTCTTCCCACCCTGCCACACACGCGCGCACACACACACACTGCACTTTCCTCATTGTATTCTTTAATGGCATTTAACCCTGTTTAGAATGCTCTTCTCTATCATACTGATTTCTATGTGTAGGTATCAAATGACTTTACCAAAACACTTAGGATGCAATAAAAGCCACATTTATTTATTTTGTTTGTTTTAAATAAAATTAAATTCAGTTTGAGCAGCCATTCATCAAGTCTGAGGGATTTTTTATGGGAGTGCCTTCTCCATTCTTATGGTTGTATTGGAGTTTCAAGGGCTTTTGAGTGTCCCTCTAATAGTCATCATTGCCTATTGCTTCTCTTTATAGTCACCTATTCCTGCTTTGAATCTGTTTCTCCACTATCTATCCTATGTCATAGCTCCCTAAAGTATTTCTTAACTTCTAGGCTCCATCCTTTGTCCAAAATGGTCCCTTGAAGGCAGGAAGTTCTGATAGTAATTTTACTCAATTCTGCCAAACTTGGTCATAAGGAACCATCAAGACTCACTAGGTAAGTGCTTTTTTACAGGATATCATTCAAGCATCCTTATTCAAGTTATCACATTCAAATCACTATTCTCTATAAGGCTCATATCTGATCTACTTCTGGCACAGTCCTTTTACCAGTCTCTAGAAATCAAGGTGCATAAGGACATGAACCTGTTCCCCTTAAACCTTTGAACCACCAAACTACTATTCTCTTTATGGTAAATTGCAACATTGGCTTCAAATTATTTTCATCCTTCTACCCATGTCTCCTGGCAAAGTGACTTTGATATTGTTCCATTAAGAGATTATTTTCTCTGCTGCTTGAAATCTGGATTTGGTCATGTGACCTGTGTTGGCTAATGTGATGTTATCAAATGTGACACAAACAAGATGCATGAAAAGTATTTGAACTTTGGACCTTTTTCTGTCTTGCTGCTCTTGGCACCCAGCACAGCAATCACCATGTAAAGAAGCCCAGGTGAGCCTTCTGGATAATTAAAAGGCCATGTTGAAAAGAAGTGAGGTATCATGGCCAAGAGAATGTAGACCTCTAGATAAGTGAATGAGATCATCATGGATCATCTACTCTCTACCTGATGAACTATAGACATATGAGTGAGGCCAATCAAGATTAGCTGAGCCAACCTATCACAAAAGCCTCAGAAGAAATATGAACTAAATAATAGCTGTTGTTTTAATTCACTATATTAATTTGCTAGGGCAGCCATAACAAAGTACAATAGACTGGGTGACTTAAACAACAGAAATTTATTTCCTCAGTTTTGGAGGCTAAAAATCTGAAATCAAGTTGTCAGTAGAGTTGTTTCTTCTGAGGCCTTTTTCCTTGGTTTCTAGATGCCTGTGTTCTCCTTGTGTCTCCAAGTTGTATTCCCTCTTGACATATATTCCCACACAAACATATGTTAGGTCCTAATATCCTTTTCTTATAAGGAAAATCATATTGGATTTGTGTATACCCTAATGACCTCATTTTAACTGAATTACCTTCTTAAAGACACTATCTCCAAATATATTCATATTATGAGGTACTTGGGTTTAGGACTTCAACATATGAATGGAGGCAGGCACAATTTACCTACAATAGTCAATAAATTGTCATTCCCTCTATGGGGTTTCCTTGCCCAAACAAGGTTATCTTCAGGGTGTCAACTCCTCCTCACTTGCTCTAAAGTATAAAATATCATTTATTCCTCTCCTGGAGTTAAGGAAACCCTAGATCTCTAAGATTTTCCTTTCTTCAGTGGGGATAAAAAGCACCAAGAAATTTTCTCATTAAACTGTAGAATTAATAAATTATCACACAAGATACCAGTTCTCCAGTGCCCTCTGCCATGTGACTTCTCTTAACTATACCAATTCTGAAAGATCTTTTACTTCTCTGAATTTCTATAGCCCTGGTACATTCTTACTACACCACTTGGTACTTAAATATATACTATCTTGCATTGTAATCCTAATTCATAAAATGTGACATCTCATCAAGTAGACTCTCAGAGTGTAGAGTTCTGTTAGATAATTTATATTTCCAACAAAAAAGTTGACTGTGCAATTGACACCCAATTACCTTAGTGATATTACATGTAGCAATCAATGACTCTAATAGCACCTATTTTCATTTTAGTTTGTATACGGTCTGACTTTCATACCTTCCATGGCCAAATGTGAAGACATTGTGTTTTGTTCCTTTTGTCATCATAAAAATGACCTCAAGTTTTACTGCTTATAATGAGATTCAGAAAGGTGATACCTAGAACACTAACAGTCTTTAGTGTTAGTACTTTATATTTTGAACTTCACAAAGATTATTTGAGAAGCAAAAATAGCTCTTGTAAATATATTTAATTTAAGACAATTAAATAAATTGCTATATTGCATATTATATCTAAAGCTAAACTCAGAACTTTTAGTTTTTTTTTCCCCATTTATGGGTGCATAAGGAAAAATAATATTAAACCTCAAAGGCTTTATGGCAGTTATTTGTTGCACACCAGAAAGGTTCCAATAAACATGCAAAGATATAAAATGATATTTTTTTATATCCTAGTTAGAAAGAAAACAGGTGCTATTATACCTATGAGATGCAATATCACTAAACTAATTGAAACCGGAAATCTTGAGTACCTAACAAGCTGCTGCAAGTAGGTCTGCTTTAAACTACATACTATTCTGACACATCTAAAAGACTTGTCTCTGAAGGAATAGAAATCTGGTGGATGACTACCTATTTTTATACTTAAATAGTGCCTCTGACTGTAGCTACTCAGGCTCCCCACCACCTTACTTAGTTTGGCCTCTTTGTCTACATCATCCAAGATAAATCCTTTCTGTTTTCTTCCAGCAATTACTTGTCATAATTTTCTTCAAAAGATAGTGCAGAGGGGCACCTGGGTGGCTCAGTCACTTGAGCGAGTGACTCTTGATTTTGGCTCAGGTCATGATCTCAGGGTTCCAGAGTTTGAGCCCTGTGTTGAGCTCTGTGCTGGCAGTGCAGAGCCTGCTTGGGATTCTCTATTTCCCTGTCTCTGTGCCCCTCCACTGATCATACTTTCTCTTTCTCTCTATCAAAAGTAAATAAATAAACATTAAGAAAAAGAGCTGGTGCAGAAATCGCCTTCTTGAACAATTAGTAATAATAATTACCATTTACTCTGTGCCAGGTTCTGTTCTAAATATTTCCATATATTAAGCCACTTGATCCTTTCAATAATCTTATAAGACTGTTGTTATTCTCACTTTTTATTCAGGAGGTAACTAGTCACAGGGAAACTGAATAAATAATTCAAATTTCATAGCTAGCAAGTGGAAGAAGGAAGATGCAAACAGAAAGAAGTCTGTCCCTAGATCTCATGTTTTAACAATTATGCCATGATGCTATGATGGATTTGTTCTGATTGTATTCATACTCATATATACATTTTAGATATTCTTAATATCTACTATAAGCCAGATACTATGTTATATACTCATAAATGTTATGTCAATTAGTCTTCAAAACATCTCTGAGGTAGCGAGAGAGGTATTGGGTACTTGGTTATTCATAGTTCACACAAATATGTAAAGATTGTACCAAGTTAAAATTATCCATCAAATTTCCTTAAATTGTTCATTAAAAGTATTCATGGTTTTGTGTATGTATCACTGTATGATAATCCTTATGCACATTAAAGTTTCAGAGTCCCTGAGCTAAACTAAGGAAAAGAACAAAAACAAAAGGAAACATTGTATATTGGTGCCAAAAAATTAAAATCTTACTGACTTTGAGATAATTAGCCAATCCCTAGAAGAAGATGGCAGATGAGTAGAAAATTCTAATGTTGCTGATGGTCTGCACATTTTACATTATTTTTATGTTAGTCTCTATAACCTTAACATGTATTATCAGTTTTGTTTGGTATGATGATTACACAAGACAGTGCAATTATACCTCAGGGGTGATTGAGGTTTTAGTTTATTAGAGTTAGCTTCTAAGTTAAATGTATAAATATAATGTGACTCTACTATACTATTATTATCATCATTTGCAGATGAAGAAATTGAGAGTCCAGGAACTTAGGTGACTTGCCCAAGATCACCCAGCTTAGAAGTGATGGAAGTAGATTCTAGCCTGATTGCAAACCACATTCTGTTTCCACTATAGCAGGCTTTTTTCTGGAGGAAGTATACTATGGCTATTAAGAGCTCTGGCTCTGAATCTAGATGGCCTGTGTTTGAAGTCTAGTCTGACATTGAGTGTGAGAAAACTAAATTCTTTGTGCATCAGCTTCCTTACTGTAAAATGTGAATAGTGAAGATAATGGTAATATTATACTTTCTTCATAATATTGTGAAAATGAAATGAAAAAGAAACTGCACATAAAACACTTCAAAAATGCATGTCATGTGATAAGTGCAAAATACCTTTTATTATTAATTATCTAGTTTGTGTCCACAGGCCCAACTTCAGTAACATGAGGTGGGGGGAAGTAAGTAGAAATTCTATGCTGATTGAACATTAGGAACTTTTGCTTCCTTGTGTCACCCACAATCAGCCTTACAAACAATAGCAAGAAAACACAGCTTTGATTACTGTGCTCTACTATCCAATAAAGGCCAAACCTGCTGTGTTCCCAGTTCAAAAGACCTTATATAAACATCTACTTCTACAATAGCCTTCCCAAATACGTGAATGCAGATGCACTTGCTATATAAATAGCACACCTAAACATATCAGTCTAGGAAGCAGATGGAGAATGTACCTAATTGTGCTAACATTTATGTTGTTAGTATACTCTCCTGAGCCACCATTACAAGATTCTTGGTGGTCTCTTTTCCCCTCTTTGGAAAGCTGCAATTCCCATCAACAGTGGCACGAATTATATATTTGCATCAGGAGACACATAAACTTCAAACAAACTGTCAGAATGAGTATGCTTGGGCTGTAGTTTGATAAACAAATGTATTACAACAAACACTGAGTAAACCCCATCCTCCTACCTCCTTGTAGGATGATCAAAACAGTTGTAAGTTTTAAACAATATAGATCATTATATTGTGCATCACTGAGCCTGATTTTTTCTCTGGAGATGTGGATATAGGGATGGTGCCTGGGATCCTGAGGCCTTGTGGAGACTGGTTAGTGTTAAAATTATAAAGAGAAGACTTTGGATTCTCTCTGGAAGAAGTGTGTTAGGGCAGTGGGAGACTCACAACAGGGGTATTGAGAAAAAGCTTCTGTTTAAAGACCAGTAAATATTAGTCCAGAGCAGTCTTCTTTAACTATGGATAGGTAACAGAATTGCTTCAGATGTTACAAAACACAATCACCAAATTTTATCTCAGACCTATGGAATAAGAATTTTCAGGGTGAGAATATTTTCATCAAAAAACTAAAACCTCAGGGCACCTGGGTGGCTCAGTCAGTTAAGTGTCCAACTCTTGGTTTTGGCTCAAGTCATGATCTCAGGGTTTGTGAGTTCAAGCCCTGCATTGGGCTCCATGCTGACAGTGCAGAGCTTGCTTGGGATATTCTCTTTCTCTCTCTCTCTCTCTCTCAATAAATAAATAAACTGAAAAAAAAAATACAAGGTCTTCCGTGAGTCTTCTCTGCACCCTGGATTAACTACCACTGTATTGTGCACCTTAGGATACAGGATTTCCAAAAGAACTTGTCAAAAATTAAAAAGCAAGCCCCTTACCCACCCTCAGATTCTGATTAAGATTTTGTGGTGGGCTCTGGAATCTGCACCGCCAGGTGCCAATTTGATTACTAGTGTTTAGGAAGTAATAAATTAAAGCATGATTATAATGAGGATTTTGATCCCTAGAAGAACCTGGTATATTTGAGAGTTAAATACCTAGGCATTAGGTAAATACCTGTCTTGTATATAACACTGAGCTAGACTTCTCTAACTCAAGAGTGGTGATGGAAAATATGTATAAAATATGGGTCTTGTAAATAGAATATTTCTATGCTCTTGAAAAGACACATTTTGCCTATAGAGACTAATATAGCAGGGATTTGGTTATGAGGAGGTTGGGTGGTAGACATGGTGGATCAAGGGTTGATAGCTCAGTAAAACCCTTTCCACAGCTCCCTTAGCTCCTTCCCTTTATCCTAAATACTTCTACGTTGACCACCTCAATTTACAGCTGGCGCTCTGGGCAGTGAACACCATCAAACTTCTGTAACCAGTTTATTCTGAGAGGAATGGATTGGCTTCCCAAACCAAGCTTCTTCATTTCTTTCCCTCCTCTGGCTGTCATCCCTTTCACTGTAGTAAAGATACTGCCTCTTACCTCTCCAAAAATAGGTGTAAATTGCTCTCTATAGGATACCTGAATGAGTTATCAGTCAAAGAAGGAACAACACCTTTTCACTCTAGAGGTGTGACTGCTCTTTGTAGGAGGGAATGAGCACAGTAGTTCTCCCACTTACCTTGCCCAAATATAAAGTCTACACCCTTTCAACTCCAGCCCAAGGCTGCATTTCCAGATGCTGCATTTCTGCCTTTTAGGGTAATTTTCTCTTGTCAGATTAGTTGCCACTCTGCATTGTGCCACCTTTTACCAGTGTTCGTTACCATCCATTTTGTGCTACAAAGACAACCATTACTGTCACAAACCAAACATGTTGTTTCAAAACCAAGTGACTGGTCTTTGTATTCTGAGTTACAGCTCTATAATGGCAAGCTATTTTGTTGGCTTTTTTTTTCTGGCTTAAACCTTAAGTAAGTTTTCATAGATCTTCACTCTGTCCATTATCCACTGAATTCTACCTTGACTTACAGACTCTGAGATACTTTCTACATTATACAAATAGCCCAAAGAGGAAAGCCTGTTTTCTGACAGTCATATGCTTGCATTGTATTTTTAGATATTTTGATATCTGTATTCTCCTTGGATTATCACAAAATTCTCAGATATAGGTTAAATAAAGGCAATCACTCCTAGTTTACAGATAAGAAAATTAAAGTAAAATGTTTAAGTGATATATCCCTAGTCACACAGTTTAATACTAAATAACACTTTAGGTGAGAACCCAGATCATGTCACATCTGTTTCAGTATTTTTCTTGCATTTTTAAGATGAAATAGCGGTTCTATATTGGACTCTAGATATATATTAAGATGGCAGAGACTGCTAGTTACCTAACCTACATCCACTTATCCCGTCTTCTTTACCAACAAAACTATTATTTTTTAGGTGTCATCATATAATGAGATATAAGATTATAATTCCTAGTGTGTAAGAGATGCTTCATCAAAAATCCACTTCCTTCTGTTTTAAGGCACACAGGTGGACTACATTTTATAGCCTTCTGTGCTATTAGCTTTGATAATGTCAACTGAGTTGTAGCCAAAGGAATGTGAATAGAAGGAATTCCTACCTCTTCTGGGCCTTGGAATTTAATAAAAGGATATCTCCAAATTATTTACCCTTTCCACCTGCCAGATGCAATATTTGTGATGAGGGTTTAGGGAATGACAACACCACAAGATGGAAGGAGCCTGAATTCTAGAATCACCATGTGAAAGAGAGCTGTCCACAAATCAGCAAATCTGCCTTAGACAAGAGGTGAGAATGCACCTCTATTGGCGTGTGAGTCATCTGTTTTGGCTTAACTAAAATGCAACAGCCTCATCTATTATATTTAGGCTTTTTTGTGGATTGGTATTGCCATATTGTAAAGTTCTGAAAAAGTGATATTGACATAAAATTTATTGGGTGAAATTTCTGATACAGCTCCAGAAATAGGGATCAAATAGGGAAAGTACCCCTTTCATGATTGGAAAAATCTGCTTTCTACATCTTTGAATATGGACACATTGTCTGGACCTCTAATAGCCATATTAGAACATGAAGTGGATTCAAAGATAAAGCCATATATAAAGATTGGTGAAACAAATATACAAGGATCCTAGGTCATTGATTGCCTAGTTGTACCACCATGCTAGCTTTAGAATGTCTGTCTATTGGACTTTTTTTATGTGAAAGAATTAAACTTTGTATATTTAAACTACTATTATTTTGGGTTTTCTGTAGAGGCAGGTAAACCTAATCTAGATGAAAATGCAAGTCAGACTTTTCCTATCGTAGAATTAATAGAGAAGCCTCTGTAGGTCTAAATCTAACCCTCTCCACCATTTTTTTGGTAGAAAAAAAAATTTTTGCTAGAAAATCTGAAATCCCATACCACAAGACTAAGCCTTTGATACAAATTCGTGATTCTCTAAGAGTTGTTCTTCTACATCACCTATGAGCTTGTTAGAAACACAGATTTAGGGGCTTCACTCTGACTCACTAAATTAAAATCACTGAGAATGGAGCTCAAGAAACTGTCTTCTGACAAGTTCTCTAGGTGATTCTTATGCATTGTAAAATGTGAGTGAGGAATTTTCCCAGAAGCATCTGTTAGTACTCAATTATTATTTGAATTACATAATCATTAAAAAATTGATATGGATTAGTGATTTTCACTACAGGCTACACATTAAAATCACCTAAGGAACTTTAAAAAAAAAAACAACCTGTTCCAGGGTGAAATTATCACATAAGCTGATGGCACAGTTATAGTTATGGGTGAAGTGTTCTAGCTGGTCACTGGTCATCCAGGAAGCATAAGGTAGATATCAGACTAAAAGTAGGATGAAAGTACTTGCCTGAATTAGCCTGCAGGGGTTTTTTATGGGCAATGAGTGGAAAGAACTTTGTAAATTGTTGTTTTATTTTACAAATATATTAGTTTTCTCAACTGCATTCAGAAGCTAGACAAATACTATTATTAGTAATGACAACAATAATACCAGATAATTTTTACTGAACATTTTGTAGTATACAACTAGAAGATTTGCTGGCACTCTAGGGATTATTGGTTTCTGTGGTTTTATCCAAATGAGTATGGGCATACTGCAGAAAGCAGTGATTGTTGTTTTTGGAGACTGTTAAAAATGAAGCCTTCAGTTCTCTAAAATATTGTCTA